AAATATTTTTGCAAAATTAAGTGAATGGCCAGATATAATTTAATAGTTGGTTTTATTTCTCTCATAAACTCTCAACCTTATGAAGTTTACTTTCAGCGTACCTAAGAGTGTGGAGTCTCATTCTCATATTACGGTGGCGCCACCATCAAATAAAATTCTGCTTAGTTATTGATGCATTAGATACACTTTTTATATTTATCTCTCATGTGTATTTCGTTCCACAGTTTTCGTGGCCTAACTATAAAAAATACCATACGAAGATAAAAAATAGAAAAATATACTACCTACTTGTCCTTCCATTTCGCCATTATGACTCCGATTAATCGCATGTTTAGTCGATTCAAGTGACGCTGCAACAACACTATCTATAAACGCATTGTAAACAAATAGACAAACAATTGATAACAGGAGCTAAAAGTGACGAATAGAATTATTTATCTTATCATTATGGAAATAACGTCTGCAAATGCTCGCAACATTCATGAGTCAACAATAATGTCATTCAAAATAATGTACGCAGAAGTCAGTACCTTATAACACAGCTATCACCCGTGTGTTGTATTATCAGGTTCGGCACTATGATTCTGCTCAAATTTACCAACCAATCAGAAGGCTGAAGGCTGCCTCCCTCTTGCCTCAACCTGGGCGAGTGAAAAAATTTAATGATTTTTCCCCTAGAAAAAAGCCGTCTACAAGGATTTAACACTGCACAATTGCACTGACATTGTATCAATTTCTTTCCCAGAGAGAATTTGAACATGATCCCATTATGATAGAGTCGAAAATTGAGGGCAGATTTTATCACGTTGTTAAGCTGTGTCTATACATTTATCTTGAAACTAATTATTAGGTAGGTACCAAAATAATAAAACATAATCTTGCTATTTTCGTATTTATTGTGACAAATATCAGTCAGCGCCGATTATATCCAATGCAAACTTAAACTATTTACATTCGTCAAGATATATGATGATAAATAATAATATCTTATAATATGGATGTAGGTACATTGTGATTGTGTTGGTACTGTTGGAAACATAATTCATACAGACAAAAATAATATTTTTTTAAATTTGTTGTTAATGACGTACTAGTTCATAACAGTATCTAGGTACCTGGCACTAGAACTTGATAGAATATTTACGATTGTCTGTGGAACCCTGAACCGCTCACAAATGGGCACCTAAACGGGACTTTAACATGACAAAACACTACACAGGTTTAAAAGCGAACTCCACAACTAACAAATGTGCAATGTTATAACATTTTCGTCAGGAAAAAATCCCGTTATAAATACATGAAGCTAACATACATACATAATCTGTACGAATAGGGTAAGAAAGCTCCATGCTAAAAAAAACAATTAAATAAATTGCATCAACGCATCTACGTGTCCATTATAATGTTAAAAAAGTGACTTATTAATTATTATATTAAATACATACAGACAACGATAAACAAGAATATAATAATATGCTACAAATCTAAAACAAACACTCCGTAATCGCAACTTTTATCGTAATTACAAGAATTTTTAATGTCCATATAATATAATGAGATACGTACGTATATATTAATAGAAGATCTTATTTACACAGTCTTGGTAGTGCAAAAATCGTAGACATATTATAAGATAACTCGATGTTATGAACGAGAAACAAGGGCTGAAGTTGATAGAAATACCTACGTTACTATAATTAGGTAGATAATTACTGGATTCACGCAACGTTCATTTGCCGTTAGATAATAAAATAATAATTAACTATAGCTCCTAGACTATGATTGATTATGTGAGTACCTAGTATAGGAGCTCGCAATCGAGCTTAATAGAATAGATAGTACCTACTTAGAATTATGTACTTGCTAACGACTTATGAATGGCTGGAGCTTGATCGATACATGACATCATGGCGCGACACCGTAATTATCCCGGCCGTGACATTGCTATGCGACAGGCAGTTGGTACACACAAGAAATATATAGAATGTAGGTATACATGTAGGCTTTTTTGATCAAGCAGTTTAATTACACTACAAGTTTAAACACTAGATGTTTTCTATTTTTTTTTTTAAATATGCTTTTATGAATAACTTCCATATTTATAAATTTACGGTACCATTCTATAGTTTAGATATAATCTGATTAATAAGGTCTGATTTTTCAATAGTCAGATAAATGTTATCTGAGGAATATAATTGTTGCTATCACTGTCTTATAGGTACAAACATTCTGACGCGACAGCATCATAATTATTCCCCAGTTAACTTTTATCTAATAATCGAAAAATCAGAACTAAAATATATAAACTGTTTCTGCACAAAGAAAAGTACGCCTGTTCACTAAGAGGGTTTATGCGGCACGGAATTTTATACATTTCAAGTAAAAATTATTACAAACTACTGATGATGGCCGATTATAATGAAACTTGGAACTCATGTTTGATACATGACTTCCAAGTTTTGAGAAGTTATGAGAAGTGAAAGTACATTTTAGAGATATTCCTTAAAACCATGCAGATATTGGTAATTTTATGTTTGCATGGTTATGCAATTATCTTTTTTAGTTATTAATTTATTTTAAGTCATTTAATTTTTATCTGTATCATTTAGTTTAGATTTTTAGTATATTTTATTTCCTTTTTTTTTTTTGTATTTTTGTTTTCTGTGTGTGCGCTTGCGCGAGGATGTTTTTCTTTCTTTCTTTCTTCTTCTTTCTCTATAACTATTTTCTAAAATGTACTTAATAAGGTTTTTAGACCATGACAATATGTACCTATCTTAATTGTGCAGTAGTTCCAATGATTATAAACTTGAAAGTTCGTATGGAGACCCATACCGCATATACGCTACTAATAATTATAAGGTACCATTATGAAGTTACAAAACGATACATATTAACTAAATTATTTATCATCCCTTGCCTCGTCATGGCACATTGATTAACAACCAGATCACAACGCCCATAGCACTTTAGTAAATGATGTTTTATTGTCTACCACTTAAAAACGGAACCCTGTATCTCAAATTCTCTATCTTGGATACAGTGAACATCAAATCAAAAGTATTTGCCTATTATTTAGTAATTTCATATAACTTACCAATAAAATATAAAAAAAACCTTTTCGCATATTTCGCTTTTTATCTATAATAATGTATCATAATAATATATCTAAGGAACCCTTCATCCAGACTTCAATAAGGTAATCATACTTTGACCAAGTGAAATCTTCCTGTTAAGTAATAGGTATCTACCTACTTCGTTTTATTTTTAATCGTAAAAGACGAAGTCCGAGAAATTGGTATCTTTCGTGATTTTGATGTGCATTGCAACTACTAATCTCTAAGAGATCCCTTTCAAGTATATCATCATCATCAGTCTATAGGTGCCCACTGCTGAGCAAAGGCCGCCAGTGGTGTCTAAATAAACTAAGAATGTTATTATAACTTGAAAAATGTCACATCGGTACTTGCCAGATTCATGAGAAGCGGGCGCCTTAATCTCGGGGCCTATGTACTTAGCAGTTTCGCAAATAACCCTTTTCGACATCCACATGAGCGGATCAACAAGAATCCACCCAAAACATCCGTCATGGCATGCACTAGGCATGGGAGGGAATGTATTATCGAGAGGTTGCGAAGGACTATCTCTGAAAAATTGGGAGTCATATGGAGTTATTATCGACCGGCGAGTAGACAAGTTGACCCTGCTCAGTTTACTAAGAGTGAGAGCCAGAAAAATCCCTGCCATGTTCCATCAACATATGTGAATGGGAATGATCTGTTACCGTTTGTATTAATTGTCTAATTATGGTGTTTTACGTAGCTAATGAGGATGGTAAGAAAAGTTAAAACGAGGGTCTCAAACACTAGATGACGATTCCGTAAGGCAGGTGGCAAACCAGTGCTCGTACGAATTCAATGCATGTTTGATAACGTTTTCGTCTCGGAGGAACCTCCAAGGGCGCGGAACAGGTTTATTTCCCTTATGTTCCATAATAAGGCGACAAGACCCCTTTAAAGATTTGTACATCAAGCTCTTAGAGAGGCCTATGTATCGCAGTGGACGGAAATGGTCTGGTGATGATGATGAAACTGCTATCTTCCACAAAAATTGCTCATTTTACCTTACAACTAGTTTGCAAACACAATTTTCTTTTCTTGTAAATGTTTTTACTTATTACATTTACCTGGGACTCATCCATAACAAAACTGGTGAGAAGTAGGTGTTACATAGAATAAACTATTATTTTAGCCAGCTACAAGGCCTAATAGGGAGATATACTTATTGCAATAAAGTTCTTAAAGACTTCAGTTCAGAAAAACGAGTTCCATAACAACATTAAATGATCATATGTTTAATTAATGATAACTAAGATAATAGGATATGGGTCTAAAGCTTTGAATATTTATATTACGATAGTTACAACACTAATTACAATATTGATTACATATGATATCTAGTGTTCTACTTTAAGATTACATAATAAATGCATATATTCTAGAAACATGGTGCAAAATAGTCTCTTGATGTAATGCACTTCAATGAAATATAGGTGTTATCAATCCTAGTTCCAATGAGTCACTGACTCCTACAAGATAAAGCAATTTAATAAAAATGTGTGATGTCACATTGCTAGTTGTCATATAATGTTGTAAACATACTATGGTATCCCCAACGAATATTATGCTGTATACATTGATAGCCACATTTTAATGTTACCATAGTATTATCAAGCAAACCCATAGTTAATGTTATTAAACCAAAATAACGGTGACTTGCTCAAGTTACAGATCAAATCCCTCAGCTGTAGTACTGATTCTTTACCAGGACTTCTCAATGCATGGGCAATTAGTTATAACTTTTATAGTGCTATAAATTTCATTTCATATGGCCAAAACCAGAAACCCTTTTCAAAGTAAAATGGATTTGAAAGACAGTAATTCTTTGATATTATATTTACATTTTATTCTTCATAGTATATAATAGTTTTGTCGAGGCTAAAGACTATATAAACAATAATATTTATATTCACCAATACTGCCAGGTGATACACTTCTTGAATGGGGCCTTTGTACAAGTTATAAGAAACAGCATGGTCTACATGTCACACAGAATTCAAAGCCAAGTTGGTTATATGTATAAAGATAGACACAGGAAGTTTTAACAAGTTAACAGTTTTGCAGGCATCAACCTCAACCAACACTGTAAGTCAGTCCATCACAAAATGATGCAACATCATCTGAGTATGACTCATTAACATTTACAAACAAATCACAGAGTATTTCATTTCTGGCAAAGGCTTAGGGGAACATTGCCAGAAACGACGCCACTATTAGCACGCCAACTGAGCCTTCTGCCGACACTTGTGCATCAGAGCACGCAGGGTAAACTGCCGGCGGGCTAGAGTACGGACTTGCTTCAAGAATGTGTCCAAATCAATCACCTCCTTCCGTAAAGCCTCTCCCATGTAATAGATGGCATCTTCCAAAGTAGCTTCTTCAGCAAAAGCATTAAGGAGCTGTGAGTATAAAGGAGCAGTGGTTACAACAGCTTCATCCACATCAATACCTTCTTGTTCTTCTAGGCGTTCAATAGCAGTATGCAATTCTTTCTCTTTCTCTTGCAAGATTGACACATTTTTATCTAATTCTGCCCTCTCCCTTTGCAGTCTTGAAAGAATTTCCTCAAGACGGGCTTTACCTTCACGAAGCTCCTGCTGTGTTCGTCTAAGAGTTTCTAGTTCAGCTTGTGACTGAAGTGACTGTTCCTTCAGCCTCCTTCGTAGTTTATCTTCTACTGCAGATAGCAGTGAGGCTTTGATATGCTCTTCTGTGATGGTACCACCTGCCACATCTGCTGTCACAGTGGGCCCTGGGTAGCCCGATGCAGGTGGATAGGGTGTGGCTGATGAAGAAGGTGGATATGGCAAACCATTGCTACTGACAGAACCAGGATATGGTGCTCCATAACCTGGGTAAGGTAGATTTGATGCAGTTGGATAAGGTGCTGGTGTGGGGTAGCCTGGTTGCGGAGCTCCCTGAGGGAATGGATATCCGGTTGGCTGGGGCATAAAAGAATTTACAGGGTAAGGCGCTCTAGTTTCGTTGCGAGGCTTTGAATAAACTGGGGGCAGTTCTCCAAAAGCCGAAATCATACATTGAATAAGCTTCTGTAGGGTCGAGCCATTTTGTGTCCACTCATGGAGATAGGGAAGATACACTTTTCCATTGCTGTCTACATATTTTGAGACTTTAATAGACATGTCTGACGTGGGTTTGACAAAACACAGCGGCGCATTTTGAGGGTGTGTGTCCATTAACCAGATACACACGGGTATGTTGTAGTAGGCTCCTTTATAGTTCACAGGAATAGTACCTTCGAGGTTTAATAAGTCTTTTCGAGCGCCGTTGTTAAACACAAAGGCTTCTAAACGATAGGTCAAACTTCTGTACACTTGAATCAAATTAACAACTTCCCGAGCCGTATAGTCACGGTGTTTGTATTTAGATAGGTATTGTTTTAGCACTGCGTCGTCGTTAGCCATGTTTTAATATATTTTTGTTAAAATATTAAACAAAACTCACCAATTAATTGAAAATTACTAAGAAAATCCTCAATCATAAAATCACAGAATCACATCATTGATCATAGACAGTTAAAGTGTTGTCATCAAACGAATTAGTCAAACAAATGTTTAGTTTTTTTCTGAAAATCTACTAAATTAATCATTTAATTAATTAATGTAATGCACTTTAATGAAATATAGCTGACACAATAATATAAATAATTAATCAATAATGAAACAATAATTAAATGTTTGTATTCATACTTTTATAAATTTAAAAAGGCGGGAGGGGCAAATAAAATAAATTCAAAATATTTATTTTTCATTAGTTTTCCCATAGAAAATATTTATGACTCTCGCCCAAAATACAATACTTCTCTGAATATCAATCAAGTTTATTATACCTTTTATTCATTTAGTGTTAACCACGTAAAATTGCCACCAACACATAAATTATTTAAAAACATTTTAACCGAACACGACCCATAATATGTAAATAATTGTACTAAACGACTAGGTACCAGAACCGGTGCAACAAAAAAAAAATGACATAGACAGCCAGCTTATGTCAAATTGTTACAAACCATTTCTTTTTCGGTGAGCTGTCAACGTTACTAAACGTTTGATTGCAGTTCGCCTTTTTAATCCAAGTTAATCATCTTGGAATAGTTTGAAATACGTTAATTTGTATTTTAAAAATACAGCACAATGCCGCCTAAGTTCGATCCTAATGAAATTAAAATCGGTAAGAGTTCGTAACAGTGTAAAATGTACCGGTCTAATAGTGATGGTGTTCTACAACATTGCGTGTGTATTTTACAGTAAACTTGCGATGCGTCGGTGGAGAAGTTGGTGCCACTTCATCTTTGGCTCCTAAAATCGGTCCTCTTGGTCTGGTGAGCATACAATTTATCTATTTACCATCCTAACCTAGAAATTTCGCATGGCAGTCCGAATACCAAAACCATAAGACTACCACTGGATTAGTGGTACGGAATAGAGACATCTCAATGAATTAGCTGACTATATAAGCTTAAAAGCTTATGTCTAAGAACCTAGCACAAATTTATTTCCTTGTAATCTTCAATATGGTGAGAGGTGGAGAAAGTATGTAATTGAGTGGTCTCGTATACAAATTGATCATCCTGGGGGGTGCCTCCCTACCAGGCGCGTCCTTCCGGGTGGCGGATGGAAGGAACCCGCGACTCAGGATAATTTCCCTGTCGCGGCTACTCCGAATGTCCAATAAGGAGTCGCGGACCAGGCAATGTGACTGTCATGCTTTCTAGGTACCCACTCATATTTAAAACGGAGTAAGTTTTAATCTATTTCTGTATTATATTTATTATTACTTTTCTGTAGCCAATATCCAGAGGTTAAAGGTCTTTTCAAGGTTCTGGTATATCAGGTACTAAGAGAACCATGTTTCATCTTAACTACTCAGTCATTGTTCAGCTTGTACATAAATGTCTTATTAATATTTATTTCCAAATACAGTCCCCCAAGAAGGTTGGTGACGACATTGCCAAGGCTACCAGCGACTGGAAGGGTCTTAAGATCACTGTGCAGCTGATTGTACAGAACAGACAGGCCCAGATCTCTGTGGTGCCCTCTGCTGCTGCCCTCATCATCAGAGCACTCAAAGAGCCACCACGTGACCGCAAGAAGCAAAAGAACAGTAAGTCTCTATACTGTCTCCTCTCTATGAAATGTTAAAAAATATGCTTGCAACTAATAACTTTTAAAATAGTGTAATTGTATTTATAAGCAGTTGCACAATGTTAAACAAGGGGTTGAGAAATTGAGATACTATCATAAAAGTTGTTTCTATTTTATAATTATGTCCTAAAGGTGACAGGGCTTCCATTGTATATTGAGAATAAGCAAGTTTATTTATTTAAAGATTGTTATTTTTTTTTTCTTACAGCAATCTAATGTAATGTACTAACTAGCTTAACTTGACATGAAATACATAAGTATTCTTTCTTTTTCAGTCAAGCACAATGGTAACATCACTCTTGAAGATGTTATCAGCATCGCCAAGACCATGAGAGCCAGATCCATGGCCCGTTACTTGTCCGGGACAGTCAAGGAAATCCTTGGTACCGCACAGTCTGTTGGCTGCACAGTTGAAGGCAGGCCTCCACATGACCTCATCAATGACATCAACTCTGGTGCCCTGACCATTGATGAATAAACCTAACATATAAGTGTAACTAAAATGTGTTTTATTACCTACTTGACCTTTCAATCAATTACTTACTTAGATATCAGGTCCGAATCACAGGAACATACCTATGTTCCTGTGATACTTCTAGAAGGCCATGTCTAGGCAAACATAGCATAGGCCCTCATCCAGCTAGGTGGGCTAGCTATCCACAGGGTGGTTGGCAGTGGTTGGTTGAGAAGAGCTGAACATCGAGCAAAGTGGCGTGCTATTTGGGAGGCCTATGTCCAACAGTGGACGCCATCACGCTGTTGACAATGATACCTGACTCGTCGAGTGGATTAATTTATTTTTATTTAGAAATACCGGATAAAAGCTGGATCTACTGCGACATTTAGCTTATTACTTAGATTCCAAGTCAGTTTAGAAACCCCAAATATTTGGGCGTCATAAATGTAGTAAATCAAAGTTCCTTTTTAATTAAACTCGTTTATGGAGTTTTTTGCTCGTTCTTCTCCATTCGAAACTACAATTGGGAACGAGCACCTAGCTTCACTGAGGAACAGACTGACAGACTACTATTCTATTTTGACGTTTCAAAAGTACCTATTTATGGTTTAGTTGGAATAAATGGTGTCCGTTACCCAGGCCAGATGTTGTCGACAATGGTCATTTGAATCTTATAGATAATTAGTTGTGCGGCTTCTGTAATTGTTGCGCACATTTTTAAATTTGTTGCGCTTATAGTTTTTTAATTATTTCACAAAAACATTTCCTGCTGGTGTAACGTTACCACAGCCAGACCTTTTTCTTTCTAATGGGAATATTTAAATAAATATTAGCTATAAAATTAGTTGTCTAGATAAAGTAAATGTTGTGCCTTATTTTGTATTTGTTCTTTCTTCGGTTGCGAAGTTATTCGAGATTTTGCTGCGGTAACGTTTTTGGTTTTGCTAGATCTTTGAAATGGTTAAGCGGATTCTTATCATATTTTGTACACGACTTCCGAGGACTTAGTTTAAATTTGTTGTGCAATAACAAAACCAAAATAATGCATATTTTAAAGGTTTTTTCATTAAATAGAAAAACACTTCAATTGGCCTCAGCACTCTCAATAAGAAGTCTAAAGACTTACTATCAACGTAATTTTAAAGCTTGTAACTGCCTTCAAATGTATGTGAAGTTTCATTAGGATCCCGTAAGTATTTAACAAGTTATGATGATATTCAGTTCTTCACGAGCACGGTCTTAATGCACGCGGTGTTATTTGGCCACTGGGTTGGATATATGAACTGAATGTTATGTCAATAATTAGTTGTTTAGATCAGTTGTATATCAGTAAAATTTCAGCTCAATACATTGGATAATTAATGAGATAATACTATTAAAGTCATTAAGAAGTGAATGACCGTGGTAAGCCGACCAAGTTTAGGTGGTTACGAAAAAGCGAAAACGCAGAACATTATGGTACCTTCTAAAATATGTAGGATAGTGTTATAAATTTAGTACAGACATGTACAAAAGTTAAAAAATGAATTGGTATAAAAGTGAAATTTGGTGAAAAAAAAAATTGGTGTAAAAATGAATTGGTTATAAAAGTTAAAAAATGAATTGGTTTGAATAGGTACCTAATATGAATTAAAATATATAGGTAACCGACAAATGCACATAGCACAGTAGCTAGTTTCAGCACGTAGGTACCTAGGTCAAAATATTAGATAGGGGTAATGGTGCTGACTCCACTTTGTATACCAAAAGAGATGGGTACCTACGATAAAACCTATCTATTCACTCCTCTTCTGCGTCTATTTACCCCTCGACTTCCATTCACCCCGTTTCACCTGCACGATTGGCGGAGTTAATGCTGGCTCTTGACAAGAACTGTCACGAGTTCGATTCCCGCTCTAAACATGCGCTTACACATTGTTCCGGGCCTTTTTTTGTCAGGGGAAAATCATCAATTGACCTCGCCCGCCCAGGGTAAGACAAGAGAGAGAGTGTCAGACTCTTACTGACTAATAATCCCCCCGTTCTTTCTCCTGCTCTGGGCCGAGGCCGCGGTGACTTATTGCTCTTAACCCGTAACCCCGGCTGAACATCAGCCTTATAGGACCCTGTCCGTGGTTGTCTATGGCACGCGCGGAACGCTACGCGCCGTCAGCTCGGGCCTGGATCTGGTCAGGCGACGAGCAACCCTTACTCGCCGTCAGCAGACCCGCGCTTACGGTGGCCGGAGATCGTCTCTCGATCTCCGACGCCCGGAATGTCGCCTACTGCGGCGGCTAGGGCATGAGGAGGATAGTCCCCTCACGCGCTCCGTCTCCTCCTTTGTGGGCATTACTGCTACGCAGAAAGAGGAGACGGCTTCCCAAGTTCCTCTCACTACGAACCATGGCCTCGACTACTAAGGCCGGGTGCGACGAGAGAGAGGTCGCTGCCGATCAAGTGATCGGCGGCGACCTCTCTCTGGTCGTGGTTGCGTTTACAAACACCCAGGCCCGGAACAATATGCCCGAGTGTAATCATTGTGTCAAGCAGAGCACACCGCCACTATATATTTTCGGGCATATTGTTCCGGGCCTGGGTGTTTGTAATAGCAACCACGACTAAAGAAAAATATTTTTGTATAGTGTGTAATAATAAGTGTGTACTTATTGTACCAATTATTTAATGAAATGGACCTCTGCACTTGGTTTCCGTCTAATAAAACTTAACAGTCTGTCTCAAAGATTACCCGACATCCTATTTATAGTAATAGGATGTCGGTAAGCCACCCTTGTGAAATACCACTTTACTTCTCAATATTACACTGACGTAGCTACGGCAATACGCCCAAAACTGATTCATTATAACTGATATTGTTTTCATTATCAAATCTCTACATATTAATAAAATAAATCCTAAAACAGAAAGTTTTAATATGATAGATGTATTATTACTCTGCGTGTTCGATCGATTCAGGTGATTCTCAGAAAACCGTCGTGAAATACTCGATCTTTTTTTAGCCCCAGACTAAGATGCGTAACCTCGGTTGAACATCAGCTTTGTTGGGCCTATCTATGGTGGTCTATTGGCTCCTATTCAGGCGCTGAGCTACCCTTGTTGCCTTCTCGCAGAGTACCTAGACTCGCGTATACGGTGACACCGGATATCGTCACGCGATCTCCGACAACCGAAGTTTCTCTTATTACGGCAGCTGGAGCGTAAAGAGGATAGTTCTCTCATATTCTCCGCCACCTTTTTTGCAAGTATCACTGCTATAGTTTTCTCTTGCTCCGTGTCGTATAGCGGCGAGTATGCATACTATTGTGTTGTGTCGTGTCGTTATTACAGAACGTAGACATTAGACATCATTTTCACATTTGCTCGTTTGCCGATCTATCCCATAAAAATAAAACCGTTATTTTATAATAACTCTTTTATAAAAATCCAAAAAATATATCCTATATCTTTTAAAATGTCGCGGTATGTACATCACTAAAATTTTAATCTATCACTTCACGTCTTTGATACAATAGTTCTGATGTCTAATAACAGATGACGCTAGCAGATATGTAGAACTAAAGAACAAAAATTTTAAAATGTATTTGGTACCTATAGCAAAATTAGATAAGATGAATTGTTAACATTTACAAAAATACTATGTGCCTTTTTATTAACATATTAATTACTATGCTTTCCAAACATTTTCATAATCAACAACAACATAAACCAATAAGTTTGAGAAAACAAACAAAGCAAAAGAATTTATTGTATAGAGAACAAAAAAGTAAATGAATGAACTGTTGTAAGTAAAGTTTGATACAATAATGTTGTTATATTACCACAAGACCTCAAGTTACAATTTTGTTTTCGTTTGAATACTGTCTATGATATTCTGAAATGTGGTAACACTGGATAAAAAAACTCCTTCAAACCGTGGTCTAGCAACATCGTTCCCTCCAAGCAGAAATGTCAAAATGGCGTCAACGCAGGACGCTTGGTATATTTCTTTACTTGGTTTAGCAGAACATTTCCGTACATCGAATCCTCCTGACATAAAAAGTTGCATCCAGTGCCTACAAGCCGTATTTAATTTCAAACCACCACAAAGAGTCGAGGCCAGGACACATTTACAACTCGGAAATATTCTTTTGACACACACCAAAAACATCGACTTGGCGAGAACGCATTTAGAGCAGAGTGTAAGTTTTTTTGTTGTTATTCTTAAACTTTAACATAGCAATGCGTTTCGGAAGACCGTTTGTTACGATGTTCCAGTCGTATGACTATAACAAATGAATGTTTATTGGTGTATGAGATACTACTTTCCTAAAGTATGTAAACAAAGTTGAAGTGGGTCATATGGTGAATTTACTGTGTTGTGGTTTCAGTGGTGTATGTCACAGACTATCAATGGGTTCGACGATGTTAAGTTTGAGGCAGCAAGTGTGCTGGCAGATCTGTTTGAGGCTCAGGGCCAGCCATCACATTCAAAGCCCATTCTACGGAAGGCCATTGAGTTGTCACAGCACAGTGTATACTGGCACTGCAGGCTAATATTCCAACTAGCAGTAAGTATAACATATTTATTACTAAAGTCATTTACATAACCCTTGATCTTTATGGAATGTGTATTATATTATCAATACTATTTGTAGATGCTTAGATAAACAACATTGATCTTTGTAAACCTAATCCTAGATTTCAGATACATTTGTTGAGTATGATAACTACAATAGATATTCATTTCATTTAATTTGTAATGCTCAGTTACAATATTATTGTAATAGTAATTGGAATTTGAATGTTTGAATGTTATTGTTTTGAGTGAAGTTTAGGTACATAAATTTATTATCTTAATGAGATGGCAATTATTATCTTCATAATATAATTATTTGTTATATATTGATATGTTTTATAATCAGGTGTTATGCATAGGGTTAATCATTTGTTTAGTCTTTTATTTGTTCGAGTTGTTTCCTATTTCTAATATTTTTCTAATTGATAGATTGTTTTCTTGTTGTTTAAATCATTCTTCTGATATTTTTATTATTTTGTCCTACTAATGGCAGGTAAAGTACATATTTAAGTTAGATTTCTTTTTATTTTGTTGGAAACATCAACTGTGATAAATGATTGTTTTTTAGAAGAGTAAAACTTACATAGTTACTTAATATTTATAATAAGGCAAGGAGCACAGAGTGTATATACAGGCATTTTTATTGGCATATTTTCCTAACTTAACATCACTCAATGTTTAATAGAATGCACCATAGCAGAAGTGTAATTATTTAATTTAATACACAATTTTTAAATACTATTACTACAATTCATGCTTTTAGCCCATGGGAATACAGGGAGTTTTTCATAAACCAATGTTAATTTTTTATAAATAGAAGTTTTAACTCTACTACTCTTAGGTTCAGATTCATGTGAAATGTTTAAAACAAACTAGCACTTTAATACTTGAGCATGAACACACTGTCAGCCCATCAGAGCCCTATTCTGAGCAAATGCCTCTTCTTACACAGAGGTTTGAGCATTAAGGACCACACTTGCTCAAGATGAATAGTTGATATTAGACACTTATAATTAAAAATCATAAGTCCAGGGTTTCTTTAACATTTGTTACTAGTGTTAATTAGAAAGTACATATAGTTTTAAAAAAACTACATTGGTGTTTGAAATTCACACCCTAAAGCATGAGAAGCAGGCCATGATATTTAAAGCATGGGAAAACATAGACTTTTAATATTATTAATAAGATGTTTTTTTATATAAATGTTGCCCCACATTAGGATTTTCTCCTGTGTCGTGGGTGCTGTTACAAACATACAATTTCACATACACAAGACACCCAGATCCGGAACAACAATTTGTGGATCCTGTGGATGTAATCCTATTATGGGTCTATCCTTTTTATTATGTTTTTACAAATATTCACATTAATCTTGGCCTAAGTGCAACAAGAAAAAGTGTACCTATACCCAAAGGAAACTCCAATAAGAATGATGATCTTTAAACTAATTTTGTTTTCAGCAAATTCATGCCACAGAGAAAGAGTATGAAGTGGCAAGCAGTTTGTTGGGAGTTGGAGTGGACTATGCTCAGATATCAAATGTGGCCTACACACGCGTCCTTTTCTTACTCAGTAGGGTTATGGTGAGTTTATTTATGATATAGTACTTAATAATTTTCATAAAACAAGTGTAGTCTTTCTTAAAAGACCTTTAAGAATTATGTGAATTAAATAAAAGCTTAAGTGATGATATCTGTAATATTGAAAATAAGCCAATGTTATTATTCTATTGCAGCTGTTGTTAATAGACAAGAGGATCACAGAGGTATTACCACTGCTGAATCAAGCTGGTCATCTAGTTGATGCATGGAGTGGCAGTCATCACCAGAAAGAGTATCTCAAAGTCTTCTTCCTTGTTCTACAGGTAAATTATCACATTCTTTTGCTATTTGAAGGTTTTACTTTTCTGGTCATTGTGCAATTGTCAATCCAAAGTTGTCAAATTAGATTTACATGTGGGCTAAAGTCTTAAGGTATGATTCTGGACTCGGCCACAAGTGTCAGCGCTGCCACTAAAGTGTTCCTACGTAACGTAGCAGTGTCGCTTTGTTCCTAGTGTATTTCCATCTTGATATTCAAGCAGATACTCATTCTGCGGTAGCAGTCCCGCCACTATTGGTTTGTCGCGGCGGTAAGGCGAAACTGACGTGCAGCATTGTTTCTGCTACATTGCGACCGCAACATATCTGTCTATCTCGGAATGTATTCGCATAAATGTATATGTTACGCTCATTGAGTAGAAAAATAGCTCACAACGAGTTGTGGTCACAGTAAAACATCCATCTAGAGAAATTCGTGTTATAGCTCTAATGGAAACGAACACTACGCGTTGTTGCAATCAAAGTAAAGACCAAATAGCGAATTTCGTATCTCAACGCATTGTTGCAATGAAACAAGTTTTTTTCAATTTTCTACCACAATATTACAATTTTCTATTGAATTTGAATATTAAAATGCTGCTATGTTCAAAACTATAGTCAGAATTTTAATTCGATTCCAGATTTGACATTAACCACTGTCATTTTGTGAAATAATGATACCACATATTATAACAGCGTAGTGATGAACACAAAAATCGATAAACTATTAGTGAATCAGTTACAGGAAGGAATTAAAAAACGAATACGGCTACCGAATGGTCTAAATGCGTATCCCATGTTGTCAAAGAAGAGGAAATAATGAGTAAGCTAGATATGTTATAATTGGCAATAAATATCACATACACAATTCATAATAAATTTTAGAGAAAGTAACAGCGATAGCGATAGCGATGACAGCGATAATTTTCGTTACCAGAGGCCCAATCCTTCCCCTCCCCCAATCCCTCCTAAATCCTAAATCTCCAAATCCCTAATCCCTAAAAGGTCGGCAACACACTCGTAACTCCTCAGTTGCGAGTGTCCATGGGCGGCGCTGATTGCTTAACATCAGGTAATCCGTCAGCTCGTTTGCCGACCTATTAAATAAAAATAAAAAAAATAATAATAATAAATTACCATATTAGATTACATTTTTTTATTAATTTGATATGACACACAATTATAAAAGAAAGTTTCAGATCGTTATTAATTGTCGAAACTAAATTATCGGTTCAGAAATATTTAATTTGCTGATAAATTTAGTTTACGAGAGGTAATTTATAAACGAGCGTAATCGATTCGGAAATATTCGATTTCCATATCGAATAATTTCGCAACGTCACTATTTAGTACATATCGTTGCAACACTGAAATTGTCAAATCAGGAATCCGAGTATAGAAATTATCAAAACTATAAAATCTGGTACAAGCCAGTGAGTAAAACCCAGGATATTTTCTTACCATAATTTTATATTTGTCTTTGCTCTTACAGTGACAGACTTCTTAGTTTAGAGTAGGCAGATAGCAAATGCCGTAATAAATATAAAGTTGATTTATAAACTTCAAAAGTAAATAGTTAAAGGTTACCAGACGCAGCTGTTGGGTCTCTGAAATCCGATTTAAGGATACCTTTAACTATTTACTTTTAAAGGCTACTTGGCTTATTACGGCTTATCCCCGAAAGGCCGGCAACTTACTAGACACTCCTCTTATGTTGCGGATGTTTATAAGCGGCGCCGTTTGCTTACTATTATTTATTAGGTACTCCGTATGTTTGATAAGTCTGGCGCCGAATCAAATAAAAAAAAAATTGTCAATAGAAATAAAAAAAATGCTTGTTGTTTGATAGTCTGTACCTCCTTGCTTAGTTGTCAACATAATGAAACCTTCATTACATCACCATGACTACAATACAATGGACTTATTAAAACCTTGCAAGGTTATCTATGCAAGACGAGTATCGACGCCATCTAAAAGATGTTTATCATAAATTTAAGTCTTCAAAATATGGTCATTTTGTTTACGTGATAGACCCAATGAGAAGATAGATGATCTTAGTCAAAGTCAAGGGATTTATTTGCTCTTAAATACAGTTACATAAAAGGTGTTACAAAATATCAATTACCTCAATATTCAGTCATAAGATAATGACATGCAAATGTTTCATAACAAGCTTTTTACATATTATTCATTAATAATATTACTTTGGGAAACTTATATTGAAAAAATCTACGTAATGCCCTCTTGAATCGAGTAATTGGCAACTCTCGAAGTTGGACAGGATGTTTATGAAAGCAATCCAAGCCGGGACTTGGCAGTAAAGGATTCGGGGCTTTAGGATTTGGGGATTGGTTGTGATGGAGGGGGAGGATTCTACCTCCTAAATCCCTCAGTCACACGGTTAAATTAAATGCTATGGTGGTGTCACACACACCATTTTTTAGTAAGCGCCTAGCTTCGCTGACTAACAGACTATTATTCTGTTGTGACTTTCAGTTTAGTTAGAATAAATTATTTTGTTTTTTGCCATATTATCACTTTGGTCGAGCCGAACCTCTTCGTGCCGAAGCATGTCTCCCCATACTAAAAGCGGCTAATTTGTAAAGACGACTTTAATGAGGTACAGAGAACACCAGATCTAGGTTTTTTTATGTGATAGGATAGCAAACAAGCAAATGGTAAGCAATCGGCGCCGCCTATGCGCACCACCCTCAACAACGGAGGAGTTATGAGTGCGTCGCCAACCTTTTGGGGTTTAGGGTTTAGGAGTAATGTTCAATGTGATAAGTCGGCAAACGAGCAGACGGATTACCTGATGGTAAGCAATCAGCGCCGCCCATGGACACCCGCAACGGAGGAGTTACGAGTGCGCTGCCGACTTTTTATGGATAAGGGATTTGGAGATTTAGGGATTGGGGAAGGGTCCGGGAAGGGGAAGGATTAGGCCTCCGGTAACCTCACTCACACGGCGAAACACAACGCTGTGGTTGTTTCACGCCGGTTTTCTGTGAGGCCGTGGTATCATTCCGGTCGAACCGACCCATTCGTGCCAAAGCATGGTCCTCCTACACTTAGATAGGTTAGGTACTCGTAAAGTATTTAAAGTTTTAGAAAATGCAGGATGCCCATTTGTCGCCCCAAAAATAAACAACATAGACCTCAATACCACCTGCTTGTTTCGTAGTGTAGCTGTATTTTTTTTTTAATATTAGATTTTGTAGATCTGTTAAGTTACTAATTTTCAGAAGTAATGTTTGAAGACCGTATGACCGATGTAGCTTTTCTGATATTCTATGGAACGGTGGTACTTTTCCGGTCAAATTCATTCGCTTAAGTTGCAAATGCATATAGGAGCTACGTTCTACCTATAAAGTTTCATAATTATTAAATGCCCGACCCGCGCGTTAATCCAATCGGAGATCGGTAGTGCGATTGTAGCCACTTGACCGCATATTCTAGTAATAGAATTTGACCGTATCGTACCATTTATCTGTGACCTTGAATATGTTTGTCGGCAGGTGTGTCACTATTTAATGGCCGGGCAGGTGAAGAGCGTGAAGCCATGTTTGAAGCAGCTGCAGCAGAGCATACAAGCTATCATGGCGCCGCAATGGCCTGACGATGACAGTAAGTATCGTTTAAATTATACTTTTCCAATTAATTTTTCGATGTTTAAACATTTAAAATGTTCGATAAATTGTTGTATGTTTAAATTCAAGACTCTGACTCTAGACGGTATCGAAAAAAAAGTTTATTAGTTATATTCTACATTATGAATAAACTACGTAACATGTTAATCTTCTTTAATCTTATATATAAAAATGAATCGCAAAATGTGTTGGTAAGCGCATAACTCAACAACGCCTGGACCAATTTTGCTAATTATTTTTTTGTTTTGTTCGTTATTGTAAGGAGAAGGTTCTTTCGCAAGAAAACTTTGCAAATATAAAGGGGAATAGCGGGAATCAACAATCCTTTCGGTGCCGTAGCATTGCACTTGCAAAACAAATGACTGACACCAAACCAATGTAGTAGGATATCCGTGCGAAGCAGGGGCGGTCTGCTAGTGTTTTATATACAAAAATGGATCGCAAAATGTGTTGGTAAGCGCATAACTCAACAACGCCTGGACCAATAGTGCCCATTTTTTTTTGTTGTATTTGTTATTGTAAGGAGAAGGTTCTTATCAGAGAAAATATCAGTAAAGTAGAGAGGACTATTGGAAAAATCTACCCTTTCGTTTATAGCGACATAGTTGAACTCGCGCAAAACGGAGGTGGTCCGCTAAGTGTTTTATATAAATGTAACTTCAACACAAATGGTAGAAATATACAGTCACCATAACAATGATGAGAAACGTTAAGACTCAGTATGTGGTTGGATTGTGTCCTATTATCAATTAGATAGGAGAAGATGATTTCTTTTAGATTGTCACTATGCATCAGTGAGCGCCATGTTCAAGACGATAAAGGATTTAAAATGTAATGTTTAGGAAATTGTTCTTTCTGTGTTTTAACTATTCTGCTCTATGCCTAGGCGTACAATAATGTGTATCAAATAAGGTAAAGATTGTAAAACATATATTTTTAAAAGAGTATTAATTAATGATATGGAGTTTCTCCCTCGTTCTTCTTTATTCGAATCTACACTTTGTAACGAGCACCTAACTTTACTAACTTACTGACGGACTAAATTGATGTTTTTTACAGTATCTGTATGAAGTTTGACTTGACTTTACTTACGTAGGTACTTGACGCACGGTCGGCACGATGGCTAGGCAACTGGCCGCCGCTCAACGTGTCGGGTTCGATTCCCGCACGGAAATACTCTTTTTTTTGTAATCAACACATTGTTGCTCTTGGTCTGGGTGCGATGTGTATGTGAGATTGTATGTTTATAAACACAACCACGACACAAGGGAAAATCTGTGCGTGGGGCAACATTTTTATAAAAGAAAAAAAGTAGTTTAAATAAATGTTTTATACTATATTCATTTCTGTTGTGTAGCTGTATGCGGCAGCGTGCAAGGCGAGTCGTTCGTGTGGATGTCGCGGCAGCAACTGTACGTGCTGGTGTACCTCGTCACCGTCATGCACTCCGCGCAGGCTGGCTACATGGAGAAAGCACACAAGTATACCGAGAAGGCGCTTGCGCAGATCGATAAGCTTACCTGTAAGTTGATTCGGAATTATTTTCTTCTGGATTTACACTGAGTTGTTGGATTCATCTTTTTTTTTACTTTTGTGTCTTCTAATAATGAGATATTTTCTATGATGAAATCTAAAATTAAGCTTGACGTATCCTAGGTTGGTTCTAGAAGAAAATTAGACTTTTTCTTAACAGTATGATTACATTTACAGCAAAAACGTGCGAAAAGGACGCTCTGGGCAACGAGAAGTGTGAGAGGGAGGAGAGAGAGCGAGTCCGGAGCCGGAAGGGCGCCATCTTGGCGTGGCGCCTGCGCATGGCGCTGGTGGAGCACGCGGCGCTGTGTCGCCTCGTCGCCGGCGGGAAGGCACATGCGCTGCACGAGATCGCGCGCGCCGCGCATCTGCTCACGCAGGCACCCGAGCGTTAGTATTTTAAATGAATTACAACTCTACAAAGACACTTATGCTTAGGGTTATATATCGTGTCTGTCGTGTATAGATATATTGAAAATAACGATCTACTCATGTGAATTAACTAATAAGTAGTCAAGTCGGCAGAAAGAAACATCTTCCCTGGACTACAGGTTTACTACTACAGGTTACTCAGTAAGATTATGATGTTACAACAATTTGTTATACTTGTAGCGGCGACGGCAGAACTGCATACTCCCCAACTGCACTGCCTGCTGGGGCTGTACGCCATGTCCATGAACTGCATGGACGCCGCCGAGGCACAGTTCCACACTGCCATCAACGTGAGTACTCCATCATAATAGAATATTTTTTTATATGGAATAGGTCGGCAAACGGGCAGACGTATCACCTGATGGTAAGCAATCAGCGCCGCCCACAGACACCAAAGGAGTAGGAGTGCGTTGCCGGCCTTTAAGGTCAAGGGTACCGGATATTTAAGGATTGGGAAGGAATGGGGGTAGAGGTAGGGATTGGGGCCGGTTCCGTACGTCAGCCACCGCACGGGCAAGCAAGATTCCATTTATCGAGGAAGGCTATATAAAAAATACGCTACGATCTATAGGAGCCGAGCAGCTGGTGAAACCACACGAGAATAGCTAGTTAGTTCATATATGTAAATCAAACTGACATTTTATGTCCACCCGGGCCCATTCGTGGCACAAATGGGAGTCGGCCTGGATACGGCATGGTGTAGTCCAGTCTAGGGTCATATGGCGTTTGGTTATAATACAAATTATTATTATAACTCTTAAACCTACAAAATTTTATTTTGTATTCATTAAAGGATTAAAATAATCTGCAACAATTATGATCTACTAAATACAATAATATCGTACCATTTCATGAGAATACTTTGCTTACAGATGTCACAAGAAAGAGATTTATGGATGTTTGCGAAACTCAACTTGGCGATTGTATATTTACGAGGGAGGAGAGACAGTGAACTGACCATACTTATGGAACAGGTACAAACATTATTATCATTTTCATTCTAATCATTTTTCCAGAGTAACCTTTGGTTTCAATTCCCCAAAGCCCTCTGTGGTAAGCATATGTATATCTAATAGGTATTTGAAAATAGTTTTCAATGTTAATGTGATAAAATGTCCAGGTGAGGCCAGAAGCGCTACCGGCGTACGCGCATGGTTTGCGAGCTGCCTCCTACTACGTCTTGGGACTGCAAGCTTTCTTCCAGGCTCGGTATAATGAAGCCAAGTAAGTCACCACAGAAAGTCAATTAAAGTGACTTATTACATTTTCTCTGTACAATTTTTATTAAAGCCTATAGATATTGTAGATTTCTTACTCATTGTTATTTATTTCGTGTAGGAGGTACCTCCGTGAGACGCTGAAAATGGCGAACGCAGAGGATCTGAACAGACTGACATCGTGCTCCCTGGTACTGCTGGGACATATCTTCCTGTCCATTAACAACTCCCGGGAGAGCATGAACATGGTTACACCTGCCATGCAGCTGGCCAGCAAGATTCCCGATGTGCATGTGCAGCTCTGGGCATCTGCTATACTGAAAGGTATGTTTTTGGTTTAATACAAAAATTCCTGTACTTTACAACAGCATTCCTGTGCCTAAATTGTTGCTTAATCAATCTGAAGTTTGGGTAAAATCTGACATGAATTTTGATCGGCAGACTTGTACCGGCTGGCGGGTGACACGGAGCGGGAGAATGAGGCGTACCAGATGCACTGCAACTTCTCGCAGGCGCTTCTGAAGGACCACTTCCAGGCCACGCAGCTGGCGCAGCACGCGCTGGTGCAGTGGACGAGCGGCCCGCCGCCCGCCCTGCCGCCGCCGCAGCCCTAGTGCGCGTGGGACTGCGCCGGGCCCGAGCCGGACCACGAGCGCTCTACTACTACACTCAACCTTAAGATCACTGTCATCGGCCTAAGGGGGGACTCCAGGACCTATTCCCGGCAGTGATATTCCACGCCAGTGACTTAACAGACATTCATAGTGATAGTGTGGGACCTTGTGACATGTGCGGACGTTACGATCTGATTATAACGAGGATACTGCGCGCGTGTTAGTGTGACTGCTCCCGCCGCGGGGCCGAGGGGATCCGACTAACCTAGCCAGTAATACATAGGTAAAGCTTGATTTATATGGTCAATTAACATCATCTTCATTGTACATCCTCACCCTTGGGTTTATCAGTCGCGCTGTGGTTAGGGTTGTAGAATATGGCAATTAATATTGCTCAATTGTATCCCCTCATTTCCCGAATGTCATGGAATATATAGCTAAGCTGACAAACTAACTGCTCCATTACATTGATACGAAAAATTTGTGTAAAAGTGGCAAGGTTTCTTGTGGGCTACATGACACTGGATCATCTTTGAGTGATTGTTGAGTTTGTATAAAGTTGTGACAATAATATCATATCAGACTAGTATGTGTCTGGGCGTATCGTGGGCACACCGCGGAGGTGTCGTGATACCAGATGTTGCTTGGTTGGTTGGCTATTGGTTCTCATAAATGTCTGATCTCATTCATTTATCATCATCACATACAAAGCGAGCTGAGGGGAAGTTACCGTAATCAGTATCAAATTAACAAATGACATTTCTATTTAATGTTTTCTTTAATGGGGTTACATACAAAAGGCAGTGTCAGAACTTGTAGAAGTTTATATGGCTTGTGAGCATTTTGTTTACAATTTGTAAATTAATTAGAAAATGCAGTTAATTTACAGCTGATCAACAATTTGATTGCTGCACCTACTTAAGTACAATTATGTAACTGCCTTATTGAAGATAACTGGTATCTGCAGTTGATCTTCAGCTTTCTATATACATCTTGAGTTTAACCTTTTGTTACTTTCTTTAGTAAATGTTGTGAAAAACAGTGATTCAGTGCCAATTTTGGGTACATTGGCTAAGTTTGCTTTAACAGTATAGTATACTGTTTTGCCGTCCTTGAGGCCCAGCTACACACATCCAAACAATACATTCAATTATCTAGCACAGTGTGTATACTGTGGAAACAATTCAACTTTCAATTATTTGCCATTTCAACTGACAATAGCCTACTAATTGTAAAAGAGTAGAGTATCTGTAAGTAGCTGGGCCTTAATGCTTGCTTATATCAATTTGTTGCAGATGCAATAATGAATAGTAACAGTGTTGGTTTTCCCCCTGGGAGGTGTAGGGGCCATACTTGGAGGATATAACATGTCAGTAACTTGATTAACCCTGGAAAAATAGACAACACACCAAAGGAGAGAGAGCATAATAAATTGTCTTATTTTGCACAATACACAGTTGAATTGTGGGCAAATTTCGAAGTAAAAGTTTATGCAGATAATACGGACTGATATATAAATTAATTGTACATAATGTGTCAAAATATGAACTTGAGAAAGAACAAAATGTCTCATATTTATTATTAATTATATTAACATTTATTTTATTAGTTATTTTCCTTAGTATCTTGTTAGGAGTGAGTGGATGTTGTTGATATGCTGGTTAATTAATTTTATAGTAGCATTTGATTGTTGTAGTTGATCTCAATAGAGTGTTTCACCATAGTACATAGTGTCACAATAACTGTTGATATCTTTCCATGTTCATATAATTTTTGTAATATACTAGAGACAACTGTTTTCTTTATCTAGAAATGATTCTATTGAGATTAAACACAACCAACCTCTTAATCACACAACTTTTCGTAAAAACAAAATTGAAAGAACTCTGTACACATTTTTTATTTTATAGTAATTCCCTTTCGAACAGTTAGATGTGGCCTTAGACAAAGGGTACATTTGCTGTTGTTAATATGTAAATAAAAGTTGAATTATTGTAAATAATAAAATTATAAAATATATGTTTTTTGCTATATTTCGTCTATTATTTATACTGATGACGACTGTGTCGAAACTGATCCTATACAATACCACCTGGGTTAGATTCATAAATCTTACTTCTTACTAATATTATAAATGCGAAAGTTACGATGTTTGGATCTTTGTTAGTCAATCACGCCAAAACAGCTGGAAGGATCTGGATGACATTTGGCACAGGCATAGGATGCGCTCCAGAATAAGACATAGACTACTTTTTATCAACATATCACGCGGGGGAAGCCACGGGCGGAAGCTAGTCATGCAATAGGTATGTTTGGCTAGTTTCAGCCGTCGTATAGTTTATCTTAACTTATTAGCTGAAGTTACAAGAGTACTCGCTGCAGATCGAGGTCTGTCCTCCACTGGGCTGGGCATAATGCGGTGGGTCGGGTGTCAAGTTGTTCTTCCGATAGAACGTATGCTTCAATATAAAACTACGGCCAAAGTTAACGTCGCGCGCCTTCACCTTCGCCTGCTTCTGCTGCCAGCCGTAATCCCAACTCGTGGCTACGCGGTAAAGAAATCTGCAATTATGTTCAGTTTAATTATTTCAAGATTCTTTATTTTGTTCCCTAATTTTCCTGGTAAATTTTATCGACCAAAGTTTTGTTGCTTACTTCTTATCATTTTAATTAATACAGATAAATCACTGGTAAATAATAAGAGCACGTTATAATGTTGTCACAATGGAACATTTCGGCGATGTGGTCACTAACAGATAAACTAATAAATAAAGCCTTCATTATCATCAGCCTGTTGTCGTCCACTGCTGGACATAGGCCTCTCCAATTGCACGCCAGTGAGCTCAATGTTCAGCTCTTCTCTCATCCAACCACTGCCAGTCACCCTGCGGATGTCGTCAGTCGAACTAGCTGGAGGGCGCCCTACACTACGTTTTCCTAGACGTGGTCTCCACTGTAGAACACGTTTACCCTAGCGGTCATCGGTTCTTCGACAGATGTGACTTGCCCACTGCCACTTCAGTTTGCTAATCCTTTAAAAGATAAGCAAATAAAGCCTTATGAGTAAATAAAGTTAAGTTTCTTGAATGAGGTAGGTACAAACTTTTCTTCCGGTGATTTTTTATATCTCTCCTTCAGATATCTAGTGGCAGACCCTTTTTCAGTACTTTTCCGCAATATGTCGAGGACATTTTCTTCTATCGGGTACATAACGGCGTCTATTTTAGTAGGTACCACGTTTCGCAAGGGTACTACTGGCGGCGGCGATAGAGGCTCGTTCAATACCTGAAATTAATTTACAGATAAAAGGCGGATTTCAGAATCGACAAGATATACCGGTTACCTACCTAAGTGTAGGTAACAAAAAAGTGAATAATATCGGTAACCCGGTAGGTATATATTGTTTGTACATAGTATAACTACCTTGTTGACCGAGCAGCACCAGGCAAAAAGAAAAAAGAATGAGGTAAATTTTTTCGAGTTTTTTTCATTTAGGTAAGTATTGAGAATAGATAATTACTGAGGAAAGCTCAACTAGTTAGACAGAATCACGACTACTGTGTACGAATACTCAAGAATAGGAGTCCCGCTGTGGCTTCAAATAGTATATCTAGAGCTTTTCTCAGTTTGCTCACGTGTGTAAGTCGTTGTTTTCAATAAATTAAATACCTATGTCTCCCGACAGTTACTTTTCGAGTTTTTGTAGAATACCTAAAGCCCGTTAGCAATTATAGGTTTACCTCGTATTACACAGGCTTCTTTTATACCATTACTAGTGAAAAGTGTGTTTTGATACCTTATTTTAACATGTACCTACCTACACCTTGATCGTGTAGGTATTATTAAGAGCCTACTCTTAATTCAATACCGACCCGCATAAGTTCCTCGGCTAGCACAATAGACGCATCGATCTCTCTGACTTGGTTTTCTTTGGCTGCTTGCAGGACATTCAACAAGTTATCCATGTACCATTTTCTATTTCGGCGTTCTGACCTTTTCGCCGCATCCGAGTAAAATGCGTGCGCCATATTCAAGCAGGTGCCTACGAAGACTTAGGATTTAGACTTACAAAATATAAATAAAACATTTGTTTAATTTATTAAACTACAGTTTTACGTCTTGATAATACACAGAAATTTTGATTTGACATTTTTGTTGTCAGGTATGACTTTTTAATGTTAATCTGAGCAAAGGTCACCACACATAAAGCTTGAGTAGGTACCTATTAGTGAGGATAACCAATTAAAATCGAATAAATATTACTTACTTCTAATAATTTATTTTAAGAGTAGTACCTACAGTGGTGTGTAACCGCCCGTGTAATAACTAAACTTCTACTTCCTAGCTATCTGAGTTCTTCCGAGTTCATGAACTACTTAAACACTTCAATAAAACAAAAGAAGTACAGATTAAAATTATATTTATTTGTAACATATAATAACATATAGTACTTTCACACAATTAAAATATAGGAATGTTTATTTACAGATATAAGTACAGGAACTATACAAGTTAGTTTTGGCTATGAGATCGACTGGCTTTCCTGCCCATTACTGGACTGCCTCCCATTTGTCGTAATAAACCTCGGAGGCCCTTAGCTTCGCGCACTCCGCTCTCAAGTTGCTCGGAAGGCACTGCACAGAAGTCATCTACCAAGGGTAGTGGGCCACTGAGTCTCTCTGAGTATTGAGACAGTCGAGATTGGTGACCAATAGGCGACGTCTTCTCCGTTTGTTGTGGTTGACTCTGAAAATACGGATTTTAGTTGATAAAAGTTAATTAAAATTTCTTAAAATTCATTAGCATAATTAAAAATAAGGCATAGGAGTTATAATATTAATGTTAAGTAAAGTATTCAATCATAATTAATTACATTAGCTCATATAAAATCTAAACATTGGTAATGTAAGTACTGATCTGTTATATCTACATAGTCATGAATAAGAGCTTTAATATGATATTAATTTTCTGTATGAGCTATCCAAATTCACAACAAAGCCATAATAATTTTACACCTACTACAAACTCAGGAATATGCTACTATCAACTGGTAAAAAGTTAAAAACTACAAAAATCTATCTCTCAGTTTATGTTATATTAATTCATACAGATAGACATACAACAGACCACTTTTTATTAATATTTAAGGACATTGGTATATTAGTAATGAACAATATCAATCAGTATGGGGAAAATGGAGGCCTATATCCAGCAGGAGTTGAACCTGAGGTGATGGATGGTAACTAGGGCCAAAATAAAAGACAAAACTTCATTACCTTTCCTGACACAGCAGCTAGTTTATCCTGAAGTCTCTTCACCATGGCTGCATCACTTTCATAGCTGGTCAGAGTGGGCTGTGGCATGCACTGGAATACAGTGGCCAGCAGATTGTGGAGTGACACTAGCACACTGTCCTGCCATGCTCTTGTAAAATAGAGGCTGAATGACGGATTCTCTTCCGGTTTCTGGATAAATGGCAACACTGAAAAAATATTGGCTGTTATAACAGGGGGTCTCAAATAAATTAAATTGTTTATTTTAAGCATATTTTATGAGGAGGACTTAATGCCTAAGGCAATTCTACTAGTCAACTTTTAAGTGGTATAGAGATATTAAAGCGGGTCTTGTGGCCTTCTTTTGTTTTGGAATTTGGTTTTGAGCTAAAAAAATTGTAATTGTTAAAGTAATATTTTTTACTTGATGCTTAGCAACCTTCAGATTTATTCTATTAAAATAATATTTGTATGAGTGCATGTACTTAATAAGATTTGTTTAAGAAATTTTACCCAAAGTTTAAATCATAATATTAGATATATTCAGTTTTATTTCTTGAATGGGAAAATGAAAATGTAAATATGAATTTGAGAACAATCTAATATGTATTGTAATATATTTCATTTATTATAAATGTTCATATATGTTTTGTGATATATCATATACAAATTGAGTTGAAATGTGATAGTTTAAGTAATTATTAACATCAATAATATCAATTGCATTCACATTAATTAGTATAGAGATGAATTCTTATCCACATAATTCTTATATGAATATTATAAGCTCAACTTACTGAACCAGTCTCTCCATTCATTTTGTCCTTGCAGTTCAGGTAACATTTTAGATAAGAAGTCTGTGATCCTTTCATTCCGTGCTCCACCAGTACTTTGTGCTGCTGTCACTAAGTATAACTTATACAGACTGTATTCCAGCTTGCGAACAGCTACAACAAAGGAATATAAGGCGATGAAATATGAGGGCAAATTAAATATTAGAAAGTATGGTTCTACAACATTGTTCTACTCACCAGGTTGAACATGAATCTCCAATTTTGAGAAAACAAGGGTGTCAAGGTGTGACCAATAGTCTTTAAATCCGTTCAGGTCGGAAACATTAATATAATGCACAATTTGTTCAACTATTTTATCAACTCTAAAACCTTTGTCTTTATCAGCCTTCAAATCATTGTCAAACGCTTTCACTGTTGATGTAAATCCTCGGTAAAGTAGATATTCTCGAACTAATTCATCAACGAATTGTATATGGGCCATTATCACCTTGGAAGTTTATTTATTTACCAAAATAAAACAAAACGAAGAAGCTGCCCTATAATTTTGTTGACAAATGACAATTATTGACATATTGACTATTAGTAGACATCAGTGTATTTAGAAATGCCAGAAAAATTAATTCCAACCGTGTTTAGATCGTTATAGCTATAGCTAACTTTCTATAAAATAATCCGTAGTATAAATTTTTAGTTACTTTTATGCAAAAAAGTTTTTTTTGCAAATCAATGATTGATTAAGGTTTGAAAATGAGTTCCTTTATGAACGTTTTCAGAAACTTCAACTTGTACCAACATTACAAAACACTGTAGATGCGTTCAATTAAAAAAAATACCTTACTATTATGGGTTTAAAGAAATACCCCTAAACTTTCTTAAATTTATTTGTATAGCAAATGGTCAGATGAACATTTAATATTAATCTTTTAAAATCATCAACTCTTTACTTGTATCATTTGAACTAATAAGAATCAGTTTGTCATATTTGGTGGAAGCAGAACGCAAGTTATAGCTGAAGATGGCCAACCTATCAAAACAAAATCGAAATGTCAATCGCTTTCAATCAGCTGTCGATTTTTTATTGAAGAAGTAGAAGACACCTAAATTATTTGTATATAAACCAAAATGTGCATTGTTAAATGAAAGGGTTTTCCTAGTGTTGAGTGGTGTGAGATAATTCGGCACGGTGGTGTTAGTGTTCGGCGGGGGCGTGTGCGGCGGGCCATGGCGGTGGTTGCGGTGTGAAGGTGGCGGGCGCGGCTCTCGGGCGCAGGCATGCGGCGGCATGGCGGTCGAGGCTGCGGGCACGTCGCGCGGCCTCCGCGTCTACAAGATCGTGGTGCTGGGCGACGGCGGTGTCGGCAAGTCTGCCGTCACGCTGCAGTTCGTCAGTCACAGCTTCTTGGACTACCATGACCCTACTATAGGTACTTACCGCAATTAACACATTCCAACTATTGTTTACATTCGATATTAACTATTGCTTGCAGGTATGACGAGAACAATGCTCATTTATGATGGTCATTGTGGTTCCATATGGATTGATTGAGTACTGTCACTTGGTGTTTGTTTAGTCTAGAGCTGCTATATGCTAAACACTTGGAGTGCCTTTATTCTTGTGTTTACATTTTATAACAGTTTAGCAATTGTTTATATGCATTTACTAGGAACAAAACATTCAGAATTAAACTACTAGAAAAAAAGATATTATAAAGTGATTAATAATAGTAATGTCATGTTTTATTATGTATTAATTAATTATCTGTATTTGTTTATTTATACATTGCAAATAACACCAATTTCTTGCAATGTTTTCTGACAATCTGTTTTTTGCCTAAAAAATTAATTCACCCTCTTTTTGTTTTATTGATTGGTTTTAGGTTCAATCATTGACTTAATAACATCTTTTTGACCTGACACTATTATTTTCTTCTGTGTTATTGCAACATTACTAACAAACTAGACCAACAATTTCTAGGACTAATAGGTCAAAGGACTTTTTAGTGTGAAACCTCAGCCATTGTGCCAGCATAGTCAATTCTATACCTTTATTATATTAATAGGATTAATGGGAATATATTCCATGAGCCATAATGTGTGTTATGGTTACAGAGGACTCATACCAACAGCAAGCAGTGATAGATGGAGAGCCAGCATTGTTGGACATACTGGACACTGCAGGACAGGTTGGTAATCCTATTATAAATCCTTTCATCCATTGACCTTTGAGTGGACATAGTTTGACTGTATCTTTGGTTGAATGGTCTTTATCAGTCTTTCTCAATTTCCGATGGAAGCTAAAACTGCTCATGGAATACACCAGTAAGATTTCATTACCTATCATTTAGATGCTCATACCAATACCTTCAAAAATAAAGACAATCCAAAGAACAAAGGCATTAAATGTTTGTACTGTGTTATTGTCATAGGGTTTTATGAGATGGTAACTATTTGGTGCTGCCCATGGACAAACTGTCAATGCCAATAGGGTTACGAGTGTGTTGCCAGCCTTGTAGTAATTAGTGTTTTGGATGTTTAAGGATTTGGGAGGGAAGGAGGGAGGGGGAGAATTTGGCCTCCGGGTTCTTTACCTGGTTGTTTTACGCCAGTATTTTGTGCATTAGAATTTGCTATCACTCCAGTTTAGCTGACGAAGCCTTGTCGAAGCTTAGCTCTCCCACACTTAAGTCTCGATTAATGTTTTGTATTCAGGTGGAGTTCACGGCAATGAGGGAACAATACATGCGGTGTGGTGAAGGGTTTGTGCTGTGCTATTCAGTGACGGATCGGCGGTCGTTCCGCGCGGCGGCCGAGTACAGGCGACTGCTGGCACAAGCGAGGCCCTCCGAGAGACTGCCCCTTGTGCTTGTAGGAAATAAACTGGATCTCGCGCCCAGGTTTAGACAGGTAGTTTATTTTTTTATACATTTGGCCTTCAATACATCAAATTTCCTTGTGATAAGATTGAAAATAGATAAAATAATAATAAATCTGCAATAAAAAATATACTTAGCTTATCAATGTTTTGTTTTAGCACTTGCTAAGTTAATTAATTATTAACATGTTAAGCGCCATGGGGGTACACTGGTGACCTCCATTAGTGAAGGATTTGCCTTCAACAATTTTCTGTCGGCAGTCAAAGGCTTAATAATTCATAGGCAATTTGTGTACTTGTGGATGATTTAACCAGAGCTGGCATAAATTGTGAATAAAGCTATATAATCATTCTTAACATGTCTATAGGTGACGACGGAAGAGGGCAGAGCACTTGCGACGCAGCTCGGTTGTCCATTCTTCGAGACGTCCGCAGCACTCAGACATTTTGTGGACGATGCCTTCCACGCGCTCGTTAGGGAAATACGACGGCTGGAGAGACAAAGACAGGTAATTATGTAATCAAAATTGACATAACTTTGTTTTTATTTTGTGAGTGAGAGAATTTGCACGACTATTCAGTAGGTAAACTTGATAATAACGTGATAATAGATCCAGAAACTTTTTACTAACATTCTCTTTTAACATGAATTTTGATTAAAACAAAATTAACTGTCCTCCTAACCTGTTGATGGGAATAAAATATTTTTTATTAAATATGTTGTAAGTGTGGTAGTGCACCGCCAAGTCAGTTTCGTTTTAAAACGAATTCTTTATATTCCAGGCATCAATATTGGGAACAGGTATATCGACGAGCGGTGGACGCAGACGGTGGCGACGTCTTCGAAGCATCTTCGCTTTGGTCTTCCGACGGAGAAGAAGGCATCACACATCACCTTAAACACACCACATGGAGGTTCAACAGGCCAGTACTATCTAATATGGAAAAGATAAGATATTTTTATGTGAATATGTGAAATATTCCATAAAATTGACATTGCGATAAGCATGAAAATCTTAACTTTAAGAAACGTAACTTTTGTTATGTCTACCACGGTGTAATAACTATAAAACGACGAAAATATATTGATATGATAAAGTGTAATAGAAACTAACGTACTTATTAAGGTTTAGGTACGTATATTCAAGTTTATTTTTTTTATTGGCAACTATGTCTTCGAAAGTTTCTATTCTCTATGATTAACTAAACTTTTACACGTACTACTTACTATATGACTTTTGATATGTAATTGGAAAGTAACCAAAAAAGTTTAAATATGCGGAATATCGATTGAGATTTTCGTGCATTTATTAAACTAATTGAATTTTATATGCCCCTTCTTCTACCTCAATGTGATGCTAATATTTATCGTTACGTAAAAGAGCGATAAGTAACATGTATTTATTTGTTTGTAGTATATTATTTGTTAACTTCTATAATATTTATAATGCTGTTTACGAGATTGCATATTGCAATAAATTGTGATCTGTTATTATCGAATATTTAAATGTTGCAGGCACTAATATAAAAGTAAACAGCATTAAACATGCCAAAATCCTTGCTCTATATTGCCTTCCTTGAATTTGTTCGAGAGCAATAAAGTTAATGTATGCTTAGTCTGTGTTAGTCAACTTAGTAAATGAGGCCTAAGATAAAGTGAGATACTAAAACGTCTATCTGTTTTAATGTAATGTCTTACGAATTATACGAGTCAAGGTGAAAGGAATTCGAATAACTGTCAAGGTAAAATTATGTTGAAAATATCAAAACTTGGCGGTCCACTGCCGTGCGCTCGATGGAAACGATTTTGCGATTTTAAATCAATAACTGAAAATAGGTCTATTTTAAACATTCTTCCTTTCTTGATATTTCCACCAAGTGTTACTTAATATGAAAGCCATAGAAATTAGTTGCCATTTGGAAATGCTGTACTTTATGCATTTAAAATAAAAACCTTGCCATAAAAGCTACTTCAACAGGATACCTTGGTCCTCTACCTCTTAAACAATTCCTAATTAGATAATTGGATATAATTAGTAATTTATTTAGGACCCCTTTTATAGTAGTTAATTTTAGAAGGAATTTAGGCCTAAATGACAAGTTTCTATTTAAAGTTGTGACAGATGACATTGCTTTTAAGTGACAGTTGTTGGCAATTGCTAATGTCACAAATCATTGTTGAGTTTCAACTGTATTGTACTCTATAAATAGGTAATAAATATTGATTAATTTTACATGTTTGATATACTAAACCCCATTGTACAGATATTGTACTTAATATTGTTAAACCGGTGCCATTTGTTGTAATATTTCAACCCCATAATAGAAAAATTATATTTGTACATCTTGGCTTGAGTATTTAATAGATTAGACCATACGTCTTCCGAGAAACGGAATCCGTGAAAGCAATAAATAAATGTAGAAGTTATTTTATTGTTCGTTTAAGTTTATTTGGGAGACAAGTTTGAATGTTTAAATAGATTGTAACGTAGCTGTAGGTAGGTGTAGCCTGGTGACCAACTGGAACATATGGATGTACCATACTTTAAGCGCATACACATATTTTGATACAATTTATTTTGATAATATAATGACAGTCGCGATTTTAATTCAAGGACAAATATTTATTTACGAAATATCTCAGATACTTAATGTAAAGGTGGGTCCACACTCAACAAACACCCACCATTGGGGATGAGGTTCGAATATTATTGAATAAGCCACTGTATAGATTAATGTAAATTTATAATCTAGGCGATTTCATTGACTAGTCTAGAGTAAGATTTTATATTAGATGATATGGAAGTTCTCTTAGATTAGACATTGTTAGTTCACATTTATTCCAGTTGGTTCACAGACCTGGCCATAAGTCATAGGGGACCTTACATATGAAAACGAAATTCCAAACGTATTATACAAATGCCATATTCGTGTATCCCAACCAAAGCAGTTTTAAAAAGTAAAAGTTTTGGTATTCACATTGAACCTTGGAGTACAATTAAGTAATGTAAGTGAGATGTCGAGCTCTTCGTTTATCTGTGTAACAGATGCAGCAATAAGTATATGAATATATTTATGTATAACTATAGAGTACTAGGTGTATGTATATGGAGCGGTCAGAGGCGGGGATGTGTGTGAACTTGTATTATACTAGGTCGATACGCACAAATACTAGTGTAGTCGTTACGTACGGTCGTGTGTTGGTGTGTGTGTTAGCTCCGCCCCCCGGAACATTGACGTGCAGCATGTAGGGTTAAATATTAATGTTAATGAGAGATTCCTAAATACGAGCAATATTAAACGCCTAATGTGGTAACTAATTGTGATGTGGATGTTAGCTGTGTCTACATTTAATTCATATTAATGGTAGTACTTGTCTAACCGGATCGTACCGGATTTAACCCCCATATTTAATATGTTTCAACGTAGATTTTGATGTATTTCTCGTGTTTTTTATTAATGTAGTTTGTACTGTCGAATGTTTCGGGCGGGGAGGTTGTGCTGCGTGTGCGACGCGGCCATGTTGTACCCATAGTGCAATAACTTGGTGTCAAACTAGGGTAATCGTTCTATGGAGCCTTGGTGGCGAGTGGGGGATGATTACACATGAACAAAAATATTACTAAAATAAACTGGATTAAGGTTCAATTTCCAACAAACCCTACTACATCTATTAAGAAAATTATATTCTACATTACCTTGTCTTGAAACTGTGTACTAGTCCTAGTCACCACTCGTTTCAAAGCTCCAAAGCGCTCGAGCTTTGCCGTCAGGCATACAAAGCCTATTGTCCTAACAAGGGATTTTAATATAACCTAATTTAGTCCTTAACGATGTTTGATTAAAGTACAATTTAATTTGTACAGTGAATGTTCTAATGTCGTCGTTGTTTGCGTTGAGTTTGTATTCTCAGGACGTCTTATGTTCACGTGAATCTCGATTCTAGCTAAGTATAGTTAGTCTTGTACATTTTCAGATTTATTACTTTGATATATTCTATATATCAAAGGATTTATAACAAGCAGGATTGAACTAAATTATTGGGAAATCTAGATGAAACAAACATTTTACGTTTCTTTGTCTCTGTCTGCCTATCGAAACAAAATATCAGAATAAAAAAATAAGTTATAACTTCATTTCGTTGTGCGATTATGTACCTTATAACTTGGTTTATAAGTGTCAGAATAGTGGTTGACTGTTTAACTAGACTTAGCTAGAATGGAGAATTATGGCTAGTCTCAATGCTAACTTAACCGTGCACATAGAATTTTGACACATTGAATTTTCACCAAACGGGTAAAATGTTACCTGGTTGTAAGCATTATCGTGCGGCTTATGGCAACCCTTTAAAAGATGTAATTAGGTAGTTTCTGTAATCATAAATAAAATATTTTGACTATAGAATACAATGTAATATTCAAATATAATCTTAATTCCGTTGATTTGATGGTATACAGATATTATATTTTAGGTTTTTTGAAAAAACTTAAAATGATTTGTTATGGTATTAACGTTAAAACATTTAAGACGTCATGCTCCGATTTCATACAAAGTTTGTAGAGATGTATATTTTTTGACATTTAAATAAAATTTGTATAAAATTGACTAGTCAGAAACTATCGTATAGCATTGATGGTCTTTTGGGTGGAGGGTAGGATTGGGCCTTCAACCTCAAGCATATGGCCAAGCATAACGCAAGCGTTGGTCAATTCGGGTCAGTAATGCCGAAGCATGGCTCACTCACTATATCTAGTGTCAAAATTCTATTTTCATTAACATCACAACATTACAGATTATTAGGCGATTGTGACTGGCCATTAGTGAACGCTGCCAGACCCCCTAGTATCGTATGAATAAGTTCTAACTCTAGTCATTATTGTTTTTGGTATAGCTGTTAATAGATGTTCATCTTAACTTTATAATTGACGGTTCACTGGTAAATTCAGGTTTATTACTTTACACTATATTATTTTAATATATTTCTATAAAATTCAAATACTTTAAGAATGCTGTCAAGTTTTTCTATCCTTACAATTTCTTTGTAAAATGATAGAGAGAGCGCGATAATTACTTAAAACTTAAAATTGAATAGCATTTGAGTATCCGAGCGATAGATAATTTATTTATTTTTCTCAATTTTTCATGAATCTCTTTTAAATGACATAAGTTCTTATTGATCTATAAAGATTTTTCCGTACCGCTTACTAATGCTATTTGCCTTTCTACCATCTAATCCTGTTTAATTCACAACTTTTTTTTCTTCTTGAATTAAAAAAGAAATCGAAAATTAGCTTTAATTTACCAGTGAACCAGAACAATATTATTAAATAATATTGTAGTAGGTATTAGCGCTACTGAACAAACCCCCTTTGTTCATTAGTAATTTGCTACGAGTACTAATCATATTGTCTTTATGGAATACGAACTTATCGATGGAAACATATTTACAACACATCCCCCCTTATTACAAAACAAGGTTTATCTTTAGTCCAGGTTTAAACCATTGAGTCGGGTTTTGAATTTTGAATCTTATTGTCATCTACCTTCAATTCGAAATACGAAAACTGGCTCAATAGTTTAGTCCTAAAGTAAAACCTTGTTTTGTAATAAGGCCGATCATGTTTATAACGCAATTGAATACGCACTTATTCACCACTTTTTAGTAGTGTTTTACTAACTATTATAATTAAGGCTATAATAGTTACTTGAAAAAATCACCGCTTTCTCTGTCCCTATATCCCTATGTATGCCTCAATCTATAAACGTACTAGCAACGGATTTTGATGCGGTTTTTTTAATTGATATTGTGACATACGCGGAATGTTTTTATATGGATAAAAATGTCGATTAAGTAGTGAAGAATAATAATAGTAAAATTACACCCGTGTGAAGCCGGGCCGGGTTGCTAGTTAAATTATTATTTTGTTCGCCAGATGG